ATATATATATATTATTATATATATAATATATTATATTTATATATATTATATATATTATTTATACATATATATATATTATATCTATATATATATCATATTATATAGATATATTTTGATATGCATAGCGCCAAAAAAAGCTGACAAAAAACGTTACATGCTTTTTTTTAAAAGGGAAATATTCCTATAATCATACGAAATGTCACCAATTAAATGGCAATAAAAATTTCCATCAGATATAGATCTGTACTTAATAATATTTAAAAAAAAAATTTTTTATATTGCATTATGAACTCGAGAGCCTCTATAGGCCACATGATTCAATAATATTTAACTCTCTAAAAACCACTGTTTATTTATACTAGTTTTTTAAGGTTCTATATAATGTATATATGTAATGTCCAATAAAAATAACCTGGTAAAAAAAAAGCCTAGTGTTCTGAAAGTTGTGAGTTCGATTCCCCGTTGAATCGAATTTTTCAACTGGCACCGATGAGCGGGAGGTTGCTAATAGGGCAACCGCCTGCACCAATATGGTTTATATTGTCGTTTCCCATCTCATTCCTATGTTCTATAGGAGAGTGAATACGATACAGTGTAGGGTCCGCAGCCGCATGCATAGGGTGAGATAGGGCCAATTAGCCAGAGTAGGGCAGAAAGGGCCGGAATATAAAAAAAAATTGAAAGAAGCTAGTAACAAAAAAGAACAACAGACTGTACAGTGAATGCTCGGCATATGATCGGCTACCGAGGTACTCATTAAATTAAGCAATAAAAAGTTAAAAAAGCAAATTTTCTCATTTTTATGATTTATTAGTTATCCTTAACTACAGCGGCAATGATATCGACCAGTAAAAAATCTAATCAACGAGCTCAAATTTTGTACCCGACGAGACTCGAGCCTACGCACTAGTCTTTCACGCACTAGTCCTATGCCCTAACTACTAGCCTAATACATTTTTTAACAGTTAACAGTTAATAAGAGCTTACTGAGGTTAGAGATTATATCCATCCGTTTTCTACATAGTGTATTAATTAATGCTTAAGAAAACTAGGTCACCCGCCAATGGCTCTATACCTATATTTACATCATTTTTGTTTATACTTAATTACACAATAGTTGGAATTGTGAAGAAAGTTTGGGATAGGAAAAAATGAGAAATTGAAAAAAACCCTATAAGGAATGTTTAGATGTTCGTTGTGAGAAGGGGAGGTGGGATAAATGTAGAGCATGAATAAGTTTTCCTATTGGACTTAATGGGTATTGGGTCTACTGAAGCATCCTGAGATTTTAGTAATGTTTATATTTTTAACCAATTTGTTGGGGTGGTTATTAATAGTTGTAGTAAAGGTAGTTGTTAGTTTGCTTATAAAAACTGGAATGGTTTCTGTTCGGTTTTGTACCGAATTTTTATTCCTCTCGCACACACACACACACACACACTCAGCAGACAAGACTAACTCAGCTGTTTCGCTCACTCACCTCAGATGACCAGTGCCTTGACACCTGAGGCGCGACTTGATGGACAGGTGTAATTGACACCTTGCGGCTTATCACTCTCTCTCATTTGCATATCGACCGTTCGAGAGTATTTACGCGCTTTTCTTAGAATTTTGTCTCTTCCCTTTAATTGACCCCCTCATTATTAGTACTTCTCGCAAATGCTTTTAGAATTATTCGAATTATGCACCATTTTTTCGTTCAGCTCAATTATTGTGACCTATTCAAGTGTAATTAGTGACTTCATTTACAATTAAAAGTTCACTCTTTTTGACCAACGTCACGCGAGTGTTTTTTGACCCTCTCCGTATTTTCCCGTAATCCGAAAATATCTCGTCCATCGACTGAAATCTATCTGCTGGATGTTTTTTAGTTTCGCGTCTAATTAGCGTTTTACGGGAGTGTTAGTTAGTAGTATCAGTGTCCAGTGGAGCTCAACTTTCAACGTCACCGCACGAGGAAATTTGAATTCGTCCAGCTCAAGCGGTACTCAACTAGTTCTTCTCCCAACACATCAGAGACCTGCGTTAACGACCCAGCAACCAGGCGGATAGTCAACGAGCATCTCAA